AGACATAGTCAAATTGAATAGGCTTACTGAGAAGAAATTGGGAAGAATAAAAAGACCTCTAAGCTAGACATAATAACTGTGAGTCCTTAGAGCACAAGAGAATAAGATCCTAAAGGCCCCAAGATGGAAAAAAGAAGCTCACCTACAAAGCAACAGGAATGAGACTGGCACACATTCTTTATCAGCAACCCTGAAAACCAGAAGATAATGAATAATGCATTATTGGCTACCTAAAATTCCAGACCCCAATAAACTATCATGAAACTGTGAGGACAAAAAAATGCCTTTTCAGGGATACAAAAACTCTGCTTTCTTCAGAGTTTCTTTTCTGAGGTTACTCAAGGATGTCCAGTAAGAAAAGGCAGTATACCAAGAAGGAAAAATCAGGGATTTAATGAAACCATTCCAACAGAGGAGAGCAATAAAAGGAGTTCCAGGCTGCTGGCTGTGCAGAAAGGCCTAGAAAACAAATGGCCTGTGTTGGAATGGGAGAATGAAAGGTTTGACAGTATTCAGGGAGGGGAGAAAAACCCCCAGACTCCAAAGATAGGATACTGTATTGGAGGTTAGAATAGACCCCGAATCACCAAGGAAATGTTGAAAAAGAAAAACAAAGCTGGGGGCATCACGTTGCCCGATTTCAAGCTGCATTACAAAGCAGTGATCACCAAGACAGCATGGTACTGGCACAAAAACAGATATATAGACCAATGGAAGAGAATAGAGAGCCCAGATATGGACCCTCAACTCTGTGGTCAAATAATCTTCGACAAAACAGGAAAAAATATGCAATGGAAAAAAGTCTCTTTAATAAATGGTGCTGGGAGAATTGGACAGCCACATGCAGAAGAATGAAACTCAACCGTTCTCTAACACCATGCACAAAGATAAACTCAAAACGGATAAAGACCTCAATGTGAGACAGGACTCCATCAAAATCCTAGAGGAGAACATAGGCCGTAACCTCTTTGACATCGGTCACAGGAACTTCTCTCAAGATACATCTACAAAGGCTAGTGAAACAAAAGCAAAAATGAACTTTTGGGACTTCATCAAGCTAAAAAGCTTTGGCACAGCAAAGGAAACAGTCAACAAAACCAAGAGGCAACCCACAGAATGGGAGAAGATATTTGCAAATGACACTACAGAGAAAGGGCTGGTATCCAAGATCTGTTAAAGAACTTCTCAAACTCAACACCCAAAAAACAAATAATCAAGTCAAAAAATGGGCAGAAGACATGAACAGACACTTCTCTGAAGAAGATATACAACTGGCTAACAGACACATGAAAAAAATGTTCACTAGCGTATATTTTAAAGCACCTGTGTGACCTACTTCTTTACTTAATTCCAAGCAGCATGTTATGGAGCAAAAAGAAATCTGCTATCAAGATGTACCTAATGAAGTGTTACTGGCATTTGTATGTAAAAAACAAAAAAACAAAAAAACAAAAAAAACCTATATAGAGGGGAACAGAATAGGGCAGCAAAGGCAAATAATTACTAAATTCACAATGTAGTGTGTTGTCGCATTTCCAATGACCAAATTCTCTGTACTCATTTGTTCCTTTGGATCACACGCCTTATGTGGACAGGCAGCATTACGTAAATATGACGACTAGAGGCTGAGCTAGGAAGTGCTAACTGGATAAAAAGTTCAACTATGTTTTTGAATCAAAGAAACTCTTTAAATTGAACATATGGTTATTACAATAGAAATCTAAACAGACCTTCTGATGACTTGCTCTGATGATTTCCATTTCTTGTGGTCTCTCTATAAGACAGTTAAATTGCAAATGGGTTATATGTATTTTGAGCTTAATTCTGCCTCCTTAGTTAAGGAGATAGGGTTGGACAGTTCAGCAGTTTTGAATCTTAAAGGGCCTTTCACGCTTTCAAGACATTTTGTATTTTTCCTCAGCAGTATTACCGCAAACATGATTAAGTAATTATTTGTATAATTGTTTAATGAACATCTCTCTTGATAGACTAAGCTCTATGTGTCCAGAAACCAAATTGCCATCACCAGCAGTACAATGTGTAAACAAATACATGGAGATCATGGCAATCATTGATTGAGCAAATTTCATGTGAAAAATTTTTTAATAGGCATTAGAAGATGCCATTGTGTAAACATGTTATCATTTGCACAAAAGGCCTCCATCCCTAAATGAGAATGATATGTAATAGATTGAATTAAATAGGAGGGTATCAAGGAGACATTTGTCTTTTATATTTGTTCACTGTGAGGACAAAGAGTTTTGTCTGATTTGTTTATAGGTTTATTTCTAGCAATAAGAACAGTGTCTGTCACAGAAATATATGTTGAATCAATGACTTAATAAAAGTAATGGCACAACTTAATAATAAGAAAGTAAACAACCTAATAAAAAATGGGCAAAAGATTTGAACAGACTTCACCAAAAAACATACAGGATGGCACATAAGCACATAAAAAGATGATCAACATTATTCATCATTAGAAAAATACAAATTAAAACCACAGTGAGATGTTGCTACACATGTATTAGAACGAATAAAATAAAAATAACTAGCAGTAGCAACGGCTGATGAGGATGTGAGGTACTAGAATTCTCATAGGTTGCTGGCAGGACAGGCTGCTTTGGAAATCCATTTGTCAGTTTCTTACAAAGTTAAACATACATTTAGCATATGACCCAGCAACCCCAGGTCTAGAAATTTACCCAAGAGAAATGAAACCATTTGTCCACACACACATACTCACATGAAAACCTGAACATGGATATTTGTGAAGGCTTTATTCATAATTTCTAAAAAATTGGAACTAGTCCAAATGATCACTAACTGGTGAATGGATAAATGAATGGCTAAATAAACTATGACACATTCATACAATGGAATATTATTCAGCAAGAAAAGAGAGCAAACTACTAATACAAGCAACAACAAGGACGAATATCAAATGCATTATGCTAAAGTGAAGGAAGCCAGAATCAAACAGCTCCATACTGTATAATTCCATTTATGTAACATTCTGGAAAAGCTGAACTATGGGACAGAGATCAGATAAACACAGAGAAGTACCCACAAGGGCTGGGGTGGAGAAGGAGACTTGACTACAAAGAGGGTGAACTCTTTGGAATGATGGAAATGTTCTGTATCTTGACTGTGATAGTGCTTACCCAACTATATGCATTTGTCACAATTCCTAGAGCTGTATACCAGGAGAAGGGTGAACTTTATGTAAATTATACCTCAATAAACCTGACTCAGAACCAAACAAAGAAGGAGTTGATGAGGCTCTTCTCTGAAAGTAGTTAAGCAAGTAGATCATTATTAGCCTGCTGCCTTGAGAATCAGGAATGAACTCAGACTTTACCAAAGAACCAAAGAAATGAGTGAGGCTTGCTTCACTACTTATCATTCCACTATTCTTATTCTTTCTGTTAGGCTTATAACTTTCTTGTGGCAATGTCTTTGGTTTTTGTGTATTGTGATAAAAAAACCACTTATTAAGTGGTACCTGATATTTAGCATTGTGTAAGACACTGAACTCCCAGTGCCTCAGGTGGGTCTAACAGATGCAGCACATGCCTTGTTTGCCACCCCGTAGAGTAGCTATGAGAATCAGAACATGGCATGCTTGCACTATGTAAACTGTAAGGTGCTAAGTAAATATAGGTGATTTTATTGCTAAATATTAAACCTAGATATAATAAACAAACTTGGATTTCAGGCATTGGAGAGCAACCCACAAACATGGTATGGATAAGGTGTGTAGGAAAGATTTACCTGACCTGCATCTATGTTTGGCCCCACTGCCACCTCCTTGTCCAGTGGAGAGAATCTGGTGTTCAGGAGTTTTGTCTGTAGCACCCATGATCGGCAGGAATGCAGTTTGATACGTTGGACAATGTGAAGTGACTCAAAGGACTGCAATAGGCAAACGTTGGACTTAGAGGCTCTGAAGGAGTGAATCTTCAACAAACGTTTGTTTTTCTGTACTATCTAGTCTTTTATGAGATAGGGCTCTTGTTTTAGTCTAGGTGACCATTGTAGTAAATGTGCTGTATCATGCGCAACGTTTTCTTCTGATGCCTCATCTTCCAGTGTTTTTGCCACCCCAGGTCTCCATAGATTTTTGTTTCATGTGACAGCCAGCTTTGATCCTCATGAATATTGTCATGAACACACTGATATCAGTGATAAGGTTTTAGCCACAGTCGTAACAGATTTCTCTTCTTACTTTCTATACATGCACACACCATTGGAAACTTTGCCTTTTTGCTTCTTAGATCGCTATGTACCCTGCTTGGAGAGGCACTCCATGTTGAGCTCAACAGATACTTATTTGGATGACTTTGAGAATTTATTTGTGGGGCATTGCAGAATTATAAAATAAGTTCTACCAGTAATACAGTCTTGGCCAGATCACTTAATATGTTTCTTTGCTTGTGTGTTTTTTTTTTTGATTTTTAAATTTTTATTTATTTACTTTTTAAAGATTTGTTCATTTATTTTTAGAGAGAGAGAGAGCATGAGTGGGAGGGGCAGAGAGAGAGAGAGAGAATCTCAAGCATACTCCTCGCTGAGTGTGGAGCCTGATGCAGGGCTTGATCTCATGACCCTGACATTATGGCCTGAAGCGAAACCAAGAGTCGGACACTTAACCAACTGTGCCACCCAGGCACCCTAGTTTTTTTTTTATAAGTGGGCTCCATGCCCAGCATGAAGCCCAATGCAGGGCTTGAAGTCAGGACCCTGAGATCAAGACCCAAACTGAGATCAAGAGTTGGATGCTTAACCAACTGAGCCACTCAGGTGCCCCCTGTTTCTTTACTTGTAAAAGGCAGGTAATAGTTTCAAATTTGCTACTGTCATCATGTTGTTGTAAGAATCACAATAGTTTAGGAAAGCTTGCAGCCAACTCTGAAATTCTGTGCCAGTATGAAGCAGTAATATTATTAATGGCATTCTTCTCATGATTTTACTACTGATAAATTATTGTGTTTCTCCAGGGAGAGCCACTCCGGGGCAGCTCATGTCCTATATTCAGCTCTTCAAGAACAACGTCAAAGCTTTAGTGAATCACTGTGGGCTCCTACAGCTTGGGCTGGCCACAGTTCAAACTCTGAAACATCTGCAGACTGCCAAGTGGGACAACTTTCTGGCTTTTGAAAGACTCCTTCTCCAGGTATGTTGCTATGGGAGTTTCTTGGGATATTAATAGTTAAAATGCTTGCTTTTAACTTTGATGTTAAAAGTTTGATGGAAACTTTGATGTTTATTGTAGTCTTAGTAATAAGTCATATTGTTGACATATACTCTGTATCATATTCTCTAAGAGCCTCCAAGTTAAAATTTTAGTAGAAATTTTCCATACCTTTGATTTTTTGTTTTTCGTATTGTTTTTATTTGTTGTTTTTTTTTACAGTGACATCTTTGGCTTCTCACTCAATATCAAGAATGTTTTTTGAGCATTTGACTAACCTCTTTTCAATTTTATGCCATTTGGACCTTTCTTGACCTTCATGGTATCTTTATTCAATCCTTGTTAGTTTCCTTGCAGAATATTACTACTGTTTACATTTCTTCTGACACTAACTAGTCTCTAATCCTCAAACAACATATAGCATGTGGCTTAAAATGATGCTTAGTAAAAGATGAATGAAGACAAACTACATTTGTGAATGTAGTGAATTTGAAGTGATTTGTATGGGGTTAGGACCTTTTCATGATTGATGAAATATTTTCATGTAAACCTTAAAAAATTATAAAGCATTTCAAGCTAAAATAAAATAACATGACATATCTATATGTACTCCCCACATAGACTCAATGTAATTTATCCATTTTTAATATTTTTTGTATCCTTTTTCATTAAAGAAATAAAACTAGAAATAAAGTTGAAACATCTCTGATACTTATACCTTTCATTACTCTGATTCTCCTTTTTTCTTTCCCAGAGGTAATCACAAACACGATTCCTTGTTTCTGTATTTTTATTAAATACTTATTTATCCATAAATAATACAGAGTATCGTGCTCTGGTTTTACTTTTTATGTAAGTAATATTGTACTATAAATATTCCTAAACAACTTGTGTTTTCCTCTCAACATTCTATTTTTAAGATAATTCAAGTTGACATCTATAGATCTAGTTCATTTATTTAAACTATACCATACTATTTGATTATATGAATATACAACACTTTATTTATACAATTCATATTGTTGTATAATTAGGCTATTCCCTATTCGTGTGTGTGTGTGTGTGTGTGTGTGTGTGTGTGTGTGTGTGTGTAGAGGGAGGGAGAGAGAGAGAAAAAAAAAAGAATGTGGTGAATATTCTAGACCATGTGTTTTGGTATACATGTGAAAGAGTTTCTCTAGGATACATATCTTGGAAAGGATGTTAGATTACTGACAATGCATATTGTTGAATTCACTAAATATCAACAAAGTCATCACCAAAGAGGTTGACCTAGTTGACCCTTCTGCTAGGTATGGATGACATTTTGTTTCCCCACATAGTGTCCAGTACTCAGTATTATCAAATTAGAACATTTTTTAATAGTGCGTCAGTGCTATTTCTTTATATAAGTTTGCAATTCTCTGATTACTGATGAGGTTGAGCATCTTTTATAGTATTTATTGACTCTTCAGTTTTCCTCTTCTGTCAATTGCTCATACTTGTACTGTGCCCATTTTTATCGATTGGGTAACAGAAAACTGTCTTACATCATCCAGATACTTCTCTGAGGCTATGGTTTGTCTTCTAACTTTAATGCCAGTATAGTGTACAAAAGTTTAAAATTTTAATGTAGTCTAATATTATCCTTTATGATTTGTACTTATTTGTGGTTTATATTAGAAATCTATTTTTTTTAAGATTTTATTTATTCATTTGACAGAGAGAGGAACAGCGAGAGAGGGAACACAAGCAGGGGGAGTGGGAGAGGGAGAAGCAGGCTTCCCGCAGAGCAGGGAGCCCAATGCGGGGCTCGATCCCAGGACCCTGGGATCATGACCTGAGCCAAAAGCAGATGCTTAACAACTGAGCCACCCAGGTGCCCCTAGACATCTATTTCTATGTACAGTATTTCAAAACATATTGTTCTGTATTTTCTGCTAAAAATTAACTTTTGGCATTTGAAATTTTAATCCACATGGAATTTATTTTTGTTTATGGTATTATTCAGATCTAGCTTTCTTTTCTTCCATATGGATAGCCTAGTCTCCCCACACTATTTATCGAATACTCCATTGTACCATAAATTACTTACCTAAGAGTCATTTTCCTCTTTCTCATGTTGGCAAAACACCAATTTGTTTCAGTGTCTATTCTTTTCCCAAATGATTCAGGCAAATCCTGATTGCTCTCAGAGTACATTGGCATTCTCATTTCCCTACCTAATGATTAGTTTAGCAGTTCAAGCCAAAGACAAGCAAAGGGTAGTTTGCTGGAAGTATTTCTAGGAAAGATTTTCTTTTGCCCTGACAGAAGATATGTAATGAAGAAACAGTCTCTTTTTTCTGCTTCTTGATGTTTGGGACGTGAGCACTTTGTGATAATGAAGGGAGCTCCCTGAGATCCTGAGGAGGACAGGTAGAACTTGGATCTTTGATGACTTTGAACCTTAGCTCAAATATCTTGTTTTGTGAGATAATAATTCTTCTCATTGTTTGAGCCACTTAAAAAATGTTGGTTTTCTCAGGGCGCCTGGGTGGCCCAGTCGTTAAGCGTCTGCCTTCAGCTCAGGTCATGATCCCAGGGTCCTGGGATCGAGCCCCACCTCCAGCTCCCTGCGCAGCAGGGAGTCTGCTTCTCCCTCTCCTTCATGTTCTCTCCCACTATCTCTCTCTCTCTCTCTCTCAAATAAAATCTTTTACAAAAATGTTGGTTTTCTTATTTAGAGCCAAAAGATATTCCTCTTTTTCCTAATGATACGTAATGTACTAAAATTCCATATAATAGTGAGTTTATTTCTCAGTTTCTAGTCTGTTCCAGTGGCCAGTTTATCTGTCACAGAATTAATACCACGATGTTTTAAAATCAGCATGTCCAGCTTATGATTTTCTTTCTAAGAGGGAATTATTAGATTTATTTGTGGGTATTTTAAAGATTTAATTACCCCTGTGAATTGAATTTTTAAAGATTCAATTTTCTGACTGTCCATTGCTGGCATATAGGGAAACTCTTCACTTTTGCCTGGTGATCACATGTCCATCAACTTTGCATTGGCATTTGTGTTTGTTTCTTCCTTTCTACACTTTCTTGATACCACTTTCTTTTTTAGTGCTCTGACCAGATACTAGGACACTCTTCAACATAGGCAGTGAAAAGAGGCATCATCATCTTATTCCTGACTTTAAAGAAAATGTTCTAAAATTTTACCATTAAATATTGTTTGCTGAGGGTTTTTTTCTTTAATTAAGCTTAGGAAGTTTCTTCCTAAACCTAGTTTACTGAATTGTTGTTTTGTGGTTGTTTTTTATCATTCATGAGTGTTGAGTTTCATTTCTAAATTCATTATGAATTTTTTTAGATGGCTATGTAGGGTTTTTTCTCCCTTAATTGTTAATGTGGTGAATTGTATTTATAATATTTTTAATGTTAAATAATCATTATTGCATTCCTGGATAAGTTCAGCTTGGTCTTACACACACACACACACACACACACACACACACACACACACACCTGGATTTAGTTTGCTAACACTTTACTTAGCTATTTTCATTTATGCTCATAGGTGAATAGAATTTTTCTTCATTGTGCTCTGTTGTCTGGTTTTGAAACAAAGGTTATGGTAGTTTTTTTAAAATCAGAGTGAGTTTCATTTTTGTATTTTCTGGAGCTGTTTGTATAAGAAAGGAATCACAGTTGCTCAACAGTGAAATATCTCTAAGGAATCATCTCAAATAGCTTTGTTGTTGTTAGATTTAGATTTTTATTGCCAGTTTAGTTATTTAAATGTTTCTAGATCTATTTAATTCCTCTGTTTCCTCTTGAGATTATTTTGGTAGTTTATATTAGCTTAAATCGGCTATTCATTTTTATTTTCAAATTTATTAGCATACATTTATTCATAGAATTCTCATAAGAATTGAAATCTCCTTTGAATACATAGTTATATTCCATTTTTAAATGCTTCGTGTTTTTAATGTGCTCACTTTAGTCTTATTTTGGTCAGTATTGGCGGGATTTTATGAATCATTCTAAAGATTCAGCTGTCTCTGCATCTGTCGAGCTCATCTGTACCGATGCCTGTACCTATCTGTTTAAGGCCAGGAGTTCATACGAATGCCCCAATTCTAATCGAATACCACAGGGTTATTGTAGCGTTCTCCCTTTACGTATTTGTAACTTCCCTCTCTGACAGTGAAGAACCTGTCTCCCATTACCCGCAACATATTTAATGACGTGACAAATTCCCCCCATACATAATCAATCTTCCATTAGAGGTGCTGCCCCTCTCATGCCCTCCGCACCTCACCTGGACTCTGTCTTCCTGTTGTAGGCCATGGCCAAGTCCACATAGATATTCTCTTTCACTTCACACCCAGGTAGCCCTGCTGAAACCCCCACAGGGATGCGTTTCTTACATCGCTTGAGCTCTGACATCTGGTACTGTGCTACGCCCACCTCGCTCTCATCCATGGGTGTCCTCCTCACTCCTCTCAGGCTCCAGAACCCCCCAGCAGGCCCCATTGCTGCTCCCGTGGCACAGATGCCTCCTCACTCTGCAGCCTCTGGCTCCCTGCCAGAGAACTGCTGTGGCCAACCTCCTGTTTAGATGCTCTGACCTCCCTGCTCAGGCCCTGGCAGGGTCTTGGGATATTACTTTCCTCCAACCTCCAATGAATGCTTTTCTCACCTCCTTTGGTTCTGACAACCCACATAGGCCTGCTGCTTCATTTGCCCCCACATCCCGTGTCCCCCCTCCTACCATGCCCTCCTCACCCCACAGGGGCCTTGATAGACGTTTGTACCCCCCCCACCTTGCTCAGGTTCTGGTACCCTGCATGGGCCCTCACTGCCTCCCGCTTCCCCGTGGATATCCTCTCTATCCTCTTGGGGTTCCAACAGTGCTGGGTTCTGCCACCCACCATGTAAAGATGCCCTCCTCACCCTCCTGTGATGGCGACAGCCTGCACGGTGGCTTCCCCCCTGCCTTGGATACCCTTTTT